ACTTCAATGTTAAATGGCATTAACAACACAGGCTGTAGCTTTTTGATCAACATTCCGTTGGTTCCAATCTTTATTGGCACAATGGGGACAACATTTGGCAATCTCCTCATCATAATTTTGTAGGGGGTTCACCATTTAGATTTGAAGTTGACTGGGGTGAAAATCTCACTTCCGACACAATGATTGCTCTACAGAAGGACACTTTAGACCCCCTATCCCTCCGCTGTTATATCATCAGTATTACCCAAAACTGCTATGAAATTGCAAATTTGATCCCTTTTCTCCAATTCTACACCAAAAGGTCAAACCCAAAAATGCAGGAAGAGGGGGGGGGGGGAATTAAGGGAAAAATTGTCTATTTATAACTCGCACTAGTCTTAGTCCTTATAATATTATGAAAGTTAACCAGTTTTGTACACTCGTTTGGATGGCCGAATGGTTATAGCGTCTGCGCGTTGTATCATAAGGTCTGTCATTGAGTCAACTGGCGTGATTCCCCGGTTGTACGTGACAAGGAGAAGGGTTGTCTGTCCAACCTTGTGGGTCTTCTTCGGGTCCTCCGGTTTCCCCCCACTGCTAAAGACCCCAACGCGCAAGCGAATTATTGAAATAAAATTGAACCATATAGTAGTCCCGAAATGACCTAGTTTGTGTCGAGTGGACGTTAAACCCCATCTCTCTCTCTCTCTCTCTCTCTCTCTCTCTCTCTTTCTCTAATAATAGTCTGTCTCTCTTTCTACCCTTCTTGAATGGCCTGTTTTGCTGACTTTTTTCTTATCTATAATCGCAGAAGAGGCTTTGAAATGATAATTTTCTGTCTGGTTAATTGTGAATACTCATGATTTAGAGACCGAAGGGTTGCAGAGCTAAGAGTTTGGTTGACTAGTATGTGACTTCAAATTTATGTATCTCAATATTCAACCTCATATAAACTTTAGCGCAAGACAGATGTTGTCTCATCTGTGGCGGAGGGTGTTCGGTCCAAGGAAAGATTTCGGGAAAACCTGGAGCCGAACAAAGAGACAAGAATTAACATTAAAGTCAATGGGAGAATATTTGGTGGTCTGCTCCCGAACATTTATCTGGGTTATCGTCATTATAATCTTTTAGAGGCATTTAGTAACTGGATAGAGCAATAAACAACACATAGGCCTACTTATGGAAGAACAATTACTGATTCATTTAGGCGACGTTTCGAAAGGGACGCTTGAAAACGTTGAGAGAGAGAGAGAGAGAGAGAGAGAGAGAGAGAGAGAGAGAGAGAAATGGGGTTTAACGTCCACTCGACACAAACTAGGTCATTTCGGGACTAACACATGGTTCAATTTTATTTCAATAATTCGCTTGCGCGTAGGGGTCTTTAGCAGTGGGAGGAAACCGGGAAAACGTTGAGAGAATACTCTTCGAAGCGTCGCCTAAATAAATCAGTCATTGTTCTTCCATAAGTATGTGTTATAATTTATTTATCTTCACTAGTATTAAGATGGGCTACAAACTCCTGTAAACCACACTTCGCCAATAAACAATACAACTCTAGATAATTTAATTTATACCAAACCAAAATACACAGCAGGTGTCATTGCGAGAATGTCAGAATTCCCCATGAATAATAATTATGTGGGACGTAATGTAAGTTCTCACAAAACCATGTGAAGAAGAGTTGCTAAAAGATTGACTTTCACACAGCGCTCTATAATCGATGTGTACATCACTGAATAACTCTATATTCACCTTTTTAAGATTGTATAAACTCCCATTAGAGATTAAAAACACTACCAATTCTGACGCGTACCAAAATTGTCAGTTTCCCGTTTATGTGTATATTGTTATTATACGCCGGTCACCAGCTTACAATGTATACATTTATTGTATGACCCACTACGCTAGAGAGTGGATACTTTATGAAAGTTTTCAACCAAGGGAGGGATCTAACAACCATACTAATAATTATGACAGGGATGTTTAACAATCAAAAATCAGCATTCAAACAATAACAAAAAATTATATGTCGTTATCAAGAAATTTTAGATAATATTGAAACTTCTACCATGGTAAACCTGTTTCACTATCATTGATGTAGTGATGTTTCTGTATTTAACGAGAGAGAGAGAGAGAGAGAGAGAGAGAGAGAGAGAAATGGTGTTTAACGTCCACTCGACACAAACTAGGCCATTTCGGGACTAACATATGGTTTAATTTTTTTTTTATTTCGATAATTCGCTTGCGCGTAGGGGTCTTTAGCAGGGGGGGGGGGCGGATGACCCGGAGAAAACCCACGAGGTTGGTCAGGCGACCCTACTCCTTGTCACGTACAACCGGGGAATCGAAACTCCGCCAGTTGACTCAGTGACAGACCGTATGATACAGCGCGCGCGTGCTAACCATTCGGCCATCCAACACCCTGTATTTAACGAAGTTTTGTGTTATTATCAATTTGATTAAAACACAGATCCTATTTTGTTTCGTTTTTTATAGTTCAAAACTTCGTTTTACTTGTCTTTACTACACTAGGATCTGGAAGAGTTGTTATATTATCCGCGGTCTGAATGATGTGAGGGATTAGCCAGTGAAACATTCTTTTTCGGCGAGTTCTTGGCGTGCGATGCACGGAGCTTTGGGTAAAACACTAGAAACGTTAACGGTGATTGATTAATCAATGTCTGACGTCATGTCAAAGACCGCTCGTATAATCCCTCACGCGACCTGCCACTACACCTGATCAGATCCCCGTGTAGTGTATAGGTCATCCAAAGAATAAAAAAACGAAACGAAATATAGATTTTTATTTTAATCCGATTGGGACCAAACCCGCGACAGTGGCACCATACAGTATAATACGTATAATATGCATTATGTAAGATTAAGCTAGATTGTCTGCGATATCACTTTGGTGAAAGCGGACGTTAAATAATGCTATTTCACATATTAAGCTAGATAGATTGCTGACCGTTTTTACTATAATAGTTCAAAAAATAGATAAAGAAAATGAATAATATTTTGAAAAATTCAATCAAATTACTTTATCCTGACCGAATTATTGGATGTTTGAAGTTTTGACAAGAAAAAGCCTAAATTGTTCCGATTGACAAGTACCATATTGCCTCAATAATAATTAAGAAAAGTCTTAGGTTTTAGCCCTTCAATCGGCAGTCTGTGCTAGTGGTCTCCATATTATCGTCTAACGAATCGTGGTGGGCATTGTCTAATCCGCTCAATATCAAAGCCATCCGATTGTCTAAATAAATGTCTAAATAATTATTTATGTAACATTTGGAGCCACATAAACGATTTGAATCGTGCATTATGCCGCTTTAAAAAAACACCTAAACACCTGTGTTGCATAACACATTCTCAGTATCTACCCCCCTCCCCTCACCTCCATCTCCAGGAGAAAATTAAAAAGCATGACATGTGTCATGGGTCTGATTTTTAGATTTTATATGATTAGATGATTTTTTTTTTAAGTTTATCATAAACACACGAGCACCTGCTATAATTTTGTTCATACGGGACGCTCGTATAGCTAACAATTTTTTTGTGGGTTTGCCTGTTTTCAAAATTAAAATTAAGTGAATCGATTAAATATATTCACGCAGAAAAATGTACGTTTTTTTTTAATATTGCAAAGGTTCCCCACCAGTGAGAGAGAGAGAGAGGGGGAGAGAGAGATGGGGTTTAACGTCCACTCGACACAAACTAGGTCATTTCGGGACTAACATATGGTTCAATTTTATTTCCATAATTGGCTTGCGCGTAGGGGTCTTTAGCAGTGGGAGGAAACCGGAGGACCCGGAGAAAACCCACGTCACGTACAACCGGAAATTTGAATAATAACCTTTAAAGTTATTCGGTCATCCCCGCAGACAGTAAGTTTAAATGAAATGAAATGTGGTTTAAAGGGACAATAACACTCTTGCTGGCTTGACAGCTCCAGAAAATAAAAAATAGCTTTATTCTAAGTATTAGATGTGTTAGTGTCCTACCTGTTGTGTAAATTATCCATTAAATCCTATTTTACTTGTCCAGAGGGTTCAAAAATATATTTAAATCCAAGTCACATTTGAAAAGCTTTACGTCAGGCTTTTCAAATCATTTAGTTGAATTTTTCCAATTTTTTAAATTAGGTGATTTGTATCATCAATTAATTGGAATATTGTAAAATAGTACAATTTGTTGACCAGAATAAAGATTGGGACATATTATTCAGTTACAACAAGAGTGGTATTGAGCCTTTAACGTCCTACCATTCTGCCCCAACCATAGAAATACGGCATGCAGTGTGCTATGCGGGACATTTTGTGGTATTGAGCCTTTAACGTCCTACCATTCTGCCCCAACCATAGAAATACGGCATGCAGTGTGCTATGCGGGACATTTTGTCCAGGCAGCGACGTTTACGCCAACTTTTCACCAAATTCCAACGGCCTAGGGTTCTTCATTTACGTACGCCGTGTACGACAAAGAGTACATGGGTTGACAGTGGTTTCTCTTTGCCCCTTCGAAAGAATACACGCTTTAACTTAGCCAGGACCTCACACCGTTCTGCGCCCTTGGCAACGGGACACTAGGCTTCAAAAACCGAGGAATGTACGGTTCCTGAACAACTGATCATTATTTCCGTAGTTGTGCCCTACACTTTTTCGATCTTTCATTTATTTGCATTTTCTAATGAATTAAATATATCTAATTTTAAGTAATATATATCATTATTTTAAGCATTCTTATTCTGAACGTGTAATTAATTATAATCCCGTGGGCCGTTTGTTTTTATTGGGATAAATTAACTATTAAAGCGATCGTTATCGTTTTCATACAACTGAGCTCATTACGTTCTATTATCCTTTGATATGAAATAAATAGAACAATGTTATTAATCAATACTCGCCGACGTAAATATAGGTCGTTATTGATCAATCACTCTACTTTCATTTTTATGACACGCCTGTCAAATCCAATGATAAAATGAAAGTAGACAATCCCACAATGCTGCAGCTTCCTGTTATTAGTGGACTCAATGGCGGCTATAGTCTAAACGAGTGTCGATTTATTGGATCAAGTTTATTTATGGTTAATGTTTAATGAGTGTATTGTATTAGTGTTTAAGTTACGGACTGCACGTTGTTAATTAATTATAGATTATGTACTAATTGAGCTCAACAAGCAGGTAATTATTCGCTATGGTATTTTATTTAGTTCTAGAAGGAGTGAGCGAGAGGTGTAGCATTCAACACTTGTCACGCTGTGTTGCTACTAACACATTGTAGCGAATATTGGACTTTGTTTAAACGGTTATCGTGTAATAACAAGAGTATTTCACACGAGTACTCTACGACATGAATGAATCTGGTTACTGACCGTGACCCCAGGTCATGACATACTGTGCAAACAGACCGTACATGCAGACTTTGTTTATATATGTACTGATAAGAACAGTACAGTTATAAATCATAAGTCACAAGATTTGGCTCGAGAATAAAGCATGCCGTATGGCTATTGCTGATACTTAAGAAAATCCATTCTTACATTTCCTTGTTCGATTCGCATGCACTCACTGACAGAACTTGTGATAAAAAGTAGGTTGGATTACAATGTACTAGTATAAAAATCATAAAAAAATTAACACTGTAACCCAGGTATCATTTAATCTTGTGTATCTAGCACTAATTTCTTTCATATTCGTTTAATATCAAATCTTTGTTTAAAAATTCGTAAAAATCGTTTAAAATCATCTAATTTGTACTTTTGTCCAGTTGAAAGCTGACTGATTAATTTTGATAATTACAAGTATCAAATTTCCTGACCACTGTTCAAAAATTAATCATCATACATCAATAATCAATTGGGTTGTTTATTTTTTAACAGTGATCGAGAAATAAAACACTTGTAAAATGGACACTCATTATCAAAATTGAATGGTCAGCTTTAAACTGGACAGATGTACAAATTAAACGATTTATGGTGATTTTAAACAGTTTTTACGAATTTTTAAACAAAGATTTGATATTAAATGAATGTGAAAGAAATTAGTGCTAGATTCACAAGATTAAATGATACCTGAGTTACAGTGTAATTAGATTATAGAATTTAATCAGAACTTACTATAAACCAGAAAGCAACAATAAAATGTTTTTATCTTTCCGAGTTATAAGAAATATTATATTTTCAGTTAAAATTAAGTTTTGGGTTTACAGTTTCAACATTAATTTTATATCTGTTTGCATCTTCCACCATTTATGTACAAGATGTAATTTGTCAGTGCACTGAGGTTGTACACTCGTCTGCTTATTTTAACAGTATGAATACAAATTTGTAGCATGCCATAAAAAAAATCTTTATCAATAATTTGAATAATTCAGAACATTCTTCTCATTGCCGTTGATCCAGTGTCTTTGATAGGCCGAAAGGCACTGAATGTTGAAAAGAGTGGAAAATGTGACTCAATGATCAGGATTTATTGGAGATGAATATCTTTTAATACCCAAACATTTATATTTATTTTCTGTAAGATATGTGCATTTTATTATGATTACACATTCAGTGGAGGAGGCAGGATATTTGGTTAGGTGTGCTAATCTAGACATGAATATAACTTTCAATTTCATCAGCTATGATAATGTTCTTGAGAATGATAAGTTATTTTTTTATACTTCGTTTTTATTTTTGAACTCTACTTGGTGTAGGTGTTCATCAGGTAATACCTCGACTGAGTTCAATATAGAGATTAGCCGGTTGATTTGTTGATATAAACCTTTGAATAATAGCGCCTAACAGGCAGCTGTGTTTAATTATGTTCTCCTGATTTTGATTGTTTCTGTGTGTTTGAAGTATATGTTTGTGATATGCGCTTAGAAACACTTCACGTGTAATGAAGCGCTATATAAATCGAACAATAATAATAATAATAATAATACTGTTGCCCCCACCTGGATCCACTGCAGTAGGCCAACATATTTTTAGGGCGGATATAATCATATCTTAAGTGGCTCAGTGGCTGAGGTGCTGGCTCACTAACCCAGCATCTGGGTTTGATCTTGATCCCAGCCTTGGTTGAGAACCTTCAGCTTCTACTTGTCACTGGTGCCGGACGGAGGGTTTGGAAAAGAACAACATCTAGTTGTTCAGATGGGAAAAAAACTGAGGCCCCGTAAATTCGTTGGCATGCACATCAAAGAACCCTTGTCAGTGGTGCAGGATGAATGACCGGACAAGGAGCAGCTTCCCAATCGGAGGGAAAATCGTGGACACGTAAAGATCCCTTGAGAGACGGAATTCAACAAAGACTAGGAGAAGTTCATCTCATAGCACACAGCATGGCATATGCCCGTCTTCATTAGCCCCAGTCAGTTCAATCCCTCCATTAGCCGAGAAAGTTCATCATGATTTTCCAATGTGGTTTCCCCATGTCAGTGGTGCAGGACGGAGGTCCTGACAAAGACAGCTGTCTAGTCATTCGGATGATAAAAAAACCAGGTCTATATATACATCAGCGTGCACGTAAAAGATCCCTGGCAGTTGGAGTTCAATATAAGAGTAGGCCATAGTGCCGCTGCCCGGGCAAAATTTCACTGTATGGCGTATTCCTGTCTTCATTAGCCCAGTTGGAGCAGAACAGTAGGACGTAAAACCAGTCCTCCATGTTTATAGAATTGTGCGGGAGCCATAAAAAGCTCCTGATACCTTGAATATATGCAGTTTATAAGTAAACAAAAACTGAAAGTAGTTTATTAATCTCAATATTTAGGAGAGCGATTTAGCTAATTTGCAGGAGTCTTTAATGACTCCTTCGAAGGAAAGTCGATGTGTGTCGAGAGGAGTAGGAGCGAAAGCTCCCCTTAAACGTGAGGGACTGACGTTAAACCCCATTTCATTAGCCCAGTCAGTGTAGAAAAGAAGATGATTTGATATTAATAGAATGGTATAATTATATTGATATGAGAGGCTACTAGGAGAATTATAATCAGTTTAGGGATTAAGATAAATGGTTTCTGTTAGAATATATTACCCTTAATAAATACTCATGTCTAACAAGTGTTGGATGGAGATGTCATGTATTAGCTTATAAGCCTTATACACAATGAAGGCACATTCAATATCTCTGGCTTATCTCAAGCAAGTGGTGGATGGAGATGTCATGTATTAGCTTATAAATGAAATGAAATGAAATGTTTAACTTCCCACTGTTCTGCTCCGAACTGGGCGAATGAAGACGGGCATACGCCATACAGTGTGCTATGCGGGAAATTTTGCCTGGACAGCGGCACTACGGCCTACTCTTATTGTCCCCCGCCTTTCGAAGAAAGCAGGGGACTATTAAAATGGGTTCGTCCGTCTGTCTGTCTGTCCGTCTGTCTGTCCGTCTGTCTGTCCGTCTGTCTGTCCTTCTGTCTGTCCGTCTGTCTGTCCGTCACACTTTTTGGGACACAATAACTCTCTTCCTAATTGAGCTAGAATGTTCAAACTTGGTGTATGTGTTTATTAGGTCAATGCCTTGATGGAGTTCGAAGATGAGCATTTTCCGCTTAGGATAAGCAGAGATAAGCAATTTGATTGGTTGATGCTTTGGGACACGATAACTCTCTTCCTAATTGGGCTAGAATGTTCAAACTTGGTGTATGTGTTGATTAGGTCAATGCCTTGATGGAGTTCGAAGATGAGCATTTTCCCCTTAGGGTAAGCAGAGATAAGCAATTTGATTGGTTGATGCTTTGTTTGTGTTATAGTTATAGGCTTGAAAACGACTTGTGAAATCTTGTTGAACGTCGCAGTGAAATAAACCATAGTAATTGTTATCCATAAATAACTTGGTGTATAGTTTCTTTACATCAATACCTTGACTAAGTTCGATATCAAGCATTTTCTGCTCAGGGTAAGCAGAGCGATAAGCAATTTGATTGGCCGAGACTTTGGAACACAATAACTCTCCTTCTAATTGAGCTAAAATGTTCAAACTTGGTGTAGGTGTTTATGATGTCAATGCCTTGATAGAGTTCGAAGATGAGTATTTTCTGCTTACGGTAAGTAGAGATAAGCAATTTGATTGGTTGATGCTTTGGGACACGATAACTTTAGTTCTAATTAAGTGAGAGTGATGAAACTTGGTGTATAGTTTCATTACATCAATACCTTGACTATGTTCAATGATGAGAATTGTCTGCTTAGGCTAAGAAGCAATAAGCATTTTGATTGGTCAAGACTTTGGAACATAACAACTCTGCTTCTAATTGAGGTAGAATGTTTAAACTTGATGTAGATGTTCGTCTTGACTGAGTTCAATGATTAACATATCAAGCTAAAGCTAAGCAGAGATAAGCAATTTCCTTGGTCGATGCTTTGGGACAAGATAACTTTGATTCTATCTGATAGAGAGTGATGAAACTTAGTGTATAGTTGATAATCAGTTTGATTGCTCGATACTTTTGAAAAAAATAGATGTGCGATTAATTAATATGGGTTATCTATTTATTTGGGGATTTCGGCGGGGGACATCAGCCTCACTGTTGGCTTGTATCGAATTCTAACTGTCAAGGGATCTTTTACGTGCACGCCAATGTGTACATGGGACCTCAGATTTTTGTCCCATCCAAATGACTAGACAGCTGTCCTTGTCAAGCCCTCCATCCTGCATCACTGACAAGGGGGAACCACGCCGGAATGTATTAGCTTATAAGCCTTAAACACAATAAAGGCATATTCAATATCTCTGGCTTGTCTATTGCGAAGGAGAAACACGACTTGTTGCAGTCCTTCACATTTATAAAATTGTGCGGGAACCATAAAAAGCTCCTGTCAATTTCTAAAATGAGAAAAAAGCTCCCGTAAAAAAACTCTTCTTAACAATATTGTAAGAGTAATTCTACATTTTCTTGAATTAAGGAGAGCCAAATTGTATTTATGCTTTAGTCTTGTTTAATATTTGGTGAATATGGTAGCCTCCGAATTTTCATCATGGAAACTGATAAATTGAACGTATGCAGTTTAGAAATTAACAAAACCTGAAAGTAGTTTAATAATCTCCATATTTAGGAGATAGATTTAGCTAATTTGCAGGAGTCTTTAATGACTCCTGCGAAGGAAAGTCGAGGTGCGTCGAGAGGAGCATGTGAAGGACTGTCATTGTTTGACATTTAAGATAATAATAATGTAGAAATGGCAACATCATGATTT